ATTACAACCGCAGTACAAATATATATTTCATATATATTGTCATACACACTTAGTAAATTCTTGTTTTTATCAATTAATCTACAGACGATTCACAGAACGTCCTCACCCCGTAGCATCCATAGGCGAAGATCTTATAACAAACTACATCCGGGACACGTGGCAGAGCTACGGATTTGAAKTTGAGGAGCCTGAGTATGAGATTCTTTTGCAATTTCCTCAAGAAAACAAACCAAACAAAGTATCTATCATCAACAACCATACCAAGGAAGTAGAGCACGAAATAATAGCACAGCTAAACGTGAGTATGATAATTGTTTTATATTGAGAAAATGTGATAGCGGTAAAACGCAGGTCAGTTCGCTCCTTACCACTGCGAACATTACCTATATAATTGCCTCGTTGTCGTCCTTGCAACAAAGCAGCTTTTTTCCTTTATCATTGGTTCGCCTTCTTTCAAAAAAATCAACATTTAGTTGAGAATTATAAATAGAATAGGATTGTAAGAATATAACTGGCATATTAACCGTTCTCTATTTTCATAGAATCATTCTCTTTTTGAAGGTAACTGCAGGTCGTGGACACAATGGAACGATCTACAAGTACACACCTTACATGTCTTTTGTCACTGCTGGTACCGTGGAAGGCGAATTGGTATTTGCAGGTAGTGGATGGCCTTATGATTTACAACAGCTGAGTAATAAAAACATATCGCTGAAAGGAAAGATTGTAATCATCCAAGATACGCTTTCATACGTAAGATTATGTTGTATATTGTATAAAGGATGATGTGACAATGATTTTTAAAAACATGGAAAATCGGAATGGCATTAGCATAATCTCCGCTCTGAGTTTTTCTCCGCAGTGTAGAAACTAAGCTTTATTAGAAGGCACATCACCTGAACACGCAGAAGTCCATAACTAGAGGTGTCCATCTGGCAATAGGGAGGCGACAACTCATGTGTTTCGGGAGTGAGCTATTTTTAGACAGTACCGCTCAACTAATCATATTCCTCGAAATTAGACGCGCTGCGCTGAGTAATCGTTGTAAATATAGCAGGCAAAACAAAACAAGACGAAAAGGAAATAACAATGGTGTCTAGTGCTTGTGATTTTGATAATAAAATCTTCGTTATAATTTTTCTTTCTGGACGAAAATTGCTTTGACGTATAAAAAAACTTTGTAGTTCAACATGACAYAGATAAGCGACAAAGTGTCAAAAAAATCCACTTCCCCCGTGAAATTCAGTTGTATAGAAAGGATTCACAGTTAGCGCAAGCTTTGAATCTGTAGGTTTTTATAAGATAATGTATTTTTGTGTTTTACATAGTTGTTATGTTGAGTATATTTATGAGCAAACTGAGTTGCGTTTTTCATCTTTGTTGTGATTCTGGAAGTCTCAAAGAGGTTTGGAATTCCACGATAAATTCTTTTTCAAAGTCGTTTCGATGTAGCCTTTACTGTGAGATTGGGACGAGGCAAAAGTTTCATTTTTGGTTAAAACGGTATGAAAACTTTTAACTTTAACCTTGTTATATTCAGAAAGAGTAAGAACTAGAAGCCATATAGCTCACTCTCCAAACACATCGTTCGTTTTAAACGATGATGGATACTTTTCGTTATGAATTTCTTCAGGATATTCTACTGTTTTGTGACACGAAAAAAAAAAACGTAACAAAATTGTAACTACATAATATTTCACATTGCTTTGCTTTGCTTTGCTTTGCTTTGCTTTGCTTTGCTTTGCTTTGCTTTGCTTTGCTTTGNTTTTTTTTTTTTTTTTTGGTGTTTTTGTTTGTTTGTTTTGTTTTGAATGGGAAACGATATGTACAGCAGATTCGTAGCCGTACCTTACCACAGATCTGCCTCTGTAGACAGTGGTAGTGATGATGAGTGTGTGCTATGTTATTGCCTTGGCCGGTATACACCTATTTCAAAAAAAGGTTATCCGAGCCAAAGAAGATAGACATTAGGTCATTCCAATACTAAAGGAACTGTGTTGATGGATTTAAACACAAATAATCAAGGTCTTTAAAATAGTTTCGTCGACTACGAACAACACTAGATACCTCAACACTAAACTCCGTGATCTTAACGAGAAAAAAGTAATAAAAAGCACATGTCATTCCAGCTATTCTCATAACTTGGAATGACCTAATCTCCTATTGCCTATTTCCTATCGCCTTTGGCTCCGATAAGCTTTTTTGAAATAGGAATAAAAATATTTGTCTTACCTACTTCCTCATTGGTATCAGACTTCCTGTTCGGTGATGATCCAGACGAAGGATTCTATTTCGATGACACAACTGCTTTGGATGATACGGGACATGACTGGACTCTTCCTAGTGTAGGTTACCATGTCTGTGCAATTCTATTATCCTATAATGATCCATAATTCATATTGCGCTCTTTCTATGTGATATATAATTGATATGTATATAAAAAGGTAAGGTACCTATATTTAACGGTAGTTCCTTAGTATGAAATGTACGCACTGAGGGTGGGCACTGCCGGGCTTTCTTTACGTCATCAGTGGTTATTTTACGTCCCTCCGATATTGGTTAGTAATGATAAAGTGCGCAGAGACGGGACCACCATTTAAAGTGGTCATTTGAAGATGAAATGTTAGGGCAGCACTTTCTCCTCCGTTTTTTTAACGCTCTTGAGTGTTTGACCTGCCTGATTTGTACCCTCGACTTTCCGCGCAAATGTTAATGTTCAACCAACTAAGCCAACCCGGTTGTGGTACAATTACATTTAATTATCTAATGCACGCCCATTTCCTGCATGCTACCGATACTTACAGTAACTCTGTATGTTTGTTTAGGAAGCATTTGAACCTAGGCAAGCATTTCTGGAGAGGTGAGTATTGGAAGTTTTATTAACTTAGTCATAAACCAGTAGTAAAATGCGCATGCGCATTGGACCTAGTATCCCATAATACTCTTTACTTTCTTCAGGCCAACGTCGCCCAATCTTGAACAGGAGCAAGAAAGACCAGAATCCCCTTCAAGGTAAAATAGATTCGTTTTAACTTGGCTTAGTATGATTCAGTTGTGTGTATTGACGCAAATGAGTTATCTCTTTCTTAAAGTAACGTGGATTCTGAATCTGCAAGTGCTTCTGTTCAGCGGTCTGTTCTTGAACCAAGTGTGAATGAGAAAGAAGTCTCTGAGGACTCGTTCCAAGCCCTGGTAAGTTTTTCATATTTGGGTGGCATACATTCCTTTGAGCTTATCAAGTTTTACCGGTAACAATATGCATTAATGTAAATCAAATACATTCTACTTGGGAAGCTTCTGCTGCAAACTTACATAAGTTTGGCATTCCTCTTTCTTTTCCTTTCCTTTGCTTTGCTTTGCTTTGCTTTGCTTTGCTTTGCTTTGCTTTGCTTTGCTTTGCTTTGTTAGACATTCAAATTCACTCATCTTCTGTGCTCCCTTACTCTGTTGCTTTTCTTTCCCTTTTAAAATTTAAGTTTCCGTATCTCGAGAAAGAGGGTGCAATTGGCGTGATTGCTTACACCGGACCTAAGTTCCACGCATTCGAGGGAACAGGAGTTAATGACACCTTTCCAAACAAGCCTTGGTTACCAGGAGATGGTATTTTTAGTAGCAGAGGAGTTTACTTTTATGGAGATCAAACTACCCCACTGTTACCAACAACGATTGGAATGAGACTTCAGAATTTAAATGAAACTGGCCGTACGCTATCAATTCCTCTCCAAACAATCTCTTATGACGATGCTCGTTATTTACTGACTCGAATGCAAGGTGAGGTTTAATAGCCAGATAAAATAATTACAGAGGAGGGACGGATTAATGATCTAAAGGAAATTCAAATTATAAAAAATTCTAGTTATAAACCAATATAATGCAGAAGATTGGTTGGTTGGCCCCTCAAAACGTATATTTAAAAAATCATATACAAATTTTCCCTTACAGGAGAAATAGCGCCAGCCAGCATGAGAGGCATTTTGGATATAGATTACAGACTTGGACCAGGTTTAAACAGAACCAATAACAATTCMGCTCCAGTTGTCAGACTTGAAGTCAACAATCAGTACGTTAAAAAGAAGATACGTAATGTCATAGCAACAATCCCTGGCTCAGAAGAACCTGACCGATATGTTCTTATTGGTAACCACAAAGATGCGGAGTTCTTTGGAGGCGTTGACGCTTCGAGTGGAACGGCAATACTGATGGAGATATCTAGAGTCTTGTGGAACCTTACGCAAAGTGGATGGAGACCAAGAAGAACAATAAAGTTGTGTAGCTGGAGTGGAGAAGAGGACGGCTTAATGGGCTCGACTGAATGGGTGCAAGAAAACCTCAAGCTCCTTAAGAAGAGAGCTGTAGCTTATTTAAATACTGACCCTAGCATAATGGGTACAGATCTCTTAAATGTTCAGGCTAGCCCCTTATTAGGTGACGTTATCCTAAATAACGCCAGAGAACTTCAACATCCAGCCAATAATTCAATTACATTATTTGACAGCATGGTTAACAGCCTGCCGAAATCAAAGGATTACCCAGGCGAACCACATATTTATATCAACAACCAACACGCATCAGACCATGTTCCATTCTTGCATTTGCTAGGTCTTTCTGTGGCGGATTTCGCGTATTTCCTTACATACCATGATCAAAAAATTCTTTTTCCCGCTTATCACACTCAGTATGATACTTTTGAATATTTTGAAAGGTTTTGTGATCCAAACTTTCTTTATTCAAGGTTAATGGCAAAGCTTTTAGGGGGTATACTGCTTGATCTATCTGACTCCGAGGTTTTGCCGTTTAATGTGACAAGATTTGCCAAATCTGTGCAAAATGCTTTAGAAACCCTAAAAATGTCAAGAGGAATTGCACTACGACTCGACCAGCAGCAAATAGCATATCTGGAACTGGCAGTTGAAACACTTGTAAATATGACCAAAACGTTTGAGTCTGCAAAATCTAGGCTCACAGGTCAGCAGACAAATCCTATGGTTTTGCGCATGCTCAATGATCAAATGTCGGGGTTAGAGAAAACATTTTTTACTCCGAATGCCATGAGAGGTTTGCTAGGCGATATGAATGCAAAGATCGCTAAAGAGCTTTCTCAGTCCTATCAATCAGATAATATGTTGTTAATTAGAGAACAGTTCAACAATTTTGGTAGGATCGCATATATGGAGAATCTCACGCAAAAAGAGAAAGACGAGTATTTTAAGTTTGAAATGTCGTTGATAATCCAAGCTGTCAGAGAAGCAACTAAGCTGCTTAAACCACTAAAATAGATAGGATCTGCCTGCATAGGTTGCCTTTTATCGATAAATATGTATCGCGCCTTCCAGTTAAAAGTGACGGCTCACGTGAAGTAATATAATGCTAAAATAACGAATGATTTAAATTTGTGTTTCGCTACACTGGGGGGGGGGGGGGGGGGGGGGACGAGATATGAGACCCATGACAGGTCTGCGATCATGAAAAAGTGTTACGAATTGTACTGAGAAATATATTAAAAAGTAAAACCGTCTAAAATGTTTTTTCTTCAATTTTACGAGGGAAAATAACGTTACTTAAACTTACTTAAACTATACTGAATAGCAAGTGTTTCATTTCATCGTTGGCATCACAAAGTGTTTTATGATACTTTCAATTTTTGTGGCCTCTGTCTTTTGTAAGAAGCATAGCAACTTAAGGGCCGCGGGGAAACCTAAAAATTCTGGTATCTGATCTTTGATCTGATCTCGGCCAAACGTCACGGCCATAGATTGTCATTTATGATTAACTAGTCATTGCAAAGCCGTATTCTCTCTAACTGATGATCAATACCAAAGGAAAATCTAGACAATTTCAGACGAAGACCACGCGGTAACCAATCGCACCCCCCCCCCCCCTCCCCAAGTAAATAACTGATTGCTAGACGAGCTTATTTTCTATTTTTTTGACCGGTATATTCATTTGCAATCTTTTGCAATTTTACTTCTGCTACTATAACAGGATTGTTATATTAGCTATCATTTTATAGATATCGATGAAATACCAGGTTTTCTCTAGTGTCGAAAACTTGATATCTTTCACCAGTGGAAGATACCATATCTTTCACAATGCTTTCACACGTGAAGATATCGCTGTTGAATCGGCTTGCTATTTTAATTTAATAAAGAATTTTTGAGCTTTTGTTTTATTTAAGTTTCATCGATATCTATATAATAAACAGAACATTACATGGCCGCTTTAAGATACGAATTTTATCTTCTCGAGTTCGTGTTCGCTGCGCTCACTTGTGAGATATCAATTGAACACTCGAAGATAAAATTCGTATCTCCGCGCGCCCATGTAATATTCTCTATGTATATGGCCACCGCAGCTCGCGAAACGATCGTTTTTATCTTACGCGGAACTGAGAAAAACTCTGAAAAATTTCCGTTTTTTATAGCCTCGTGCAAACAATGTAGCTTCAAAGATAAAAGCATATTATTTCGATTTTCTGTCCTTTATTCCTTGTTCATTTTCTTAATCCTGTTCATTCATTATTGAATGATGTTGTCTGTAAAAACACCTTGCAGCCATATTGTTTTGGTAACAGGTAGCCCGGTACTAACAATTTTACATTGTCATTTATTTGATGACACGAGGTTTTACGTTTCACTCATGTTCTGCTCTAATTCCCCTCTTTATTTATCAACCAGGTTATATCTAAAACTAAATACCAGAAGGATGACATTTATTGATTTATTAAGCGGGAAAGTAAGTATAGAAATAATATAATAGGAATCCGCGACACCATTACCTTCCGAATACCGTTTGGTCGTGGTGTCAACAATTATTTTAGGTCGAAAGCACGAACGTGAAAGTCGTTTCGTTTCGAAAAAACTACAGTATTTTTACTTCTTTCTTTGTTAGTTTGTCGGTAACTTGACACTATGACACAAATTTTACATATGAATGCACCACAGAAATCAAATTAAAATAGTCTTATTCCCGAGATACTAGATTTCGAGGGGGAAAAGTCTATTTTTACTGACTAACTGAATCATTTATTGAAACTCGTGGAATTTGTTTTTCTTCATCACTGGAGGGTGCCTTCCGTGATGAAGAAAAACAAATTCCACGAGTTTCAATAAATGATTCAGTTAGTCAGTAGCTGTTATACAAATCACAGGTACTAGTATCTCAAAAGAATTCCAGAATATGGTGATCATAGTATTGGTTATATTCTTAATAATGTTTATAAAATGACCTAACTGAGCTACTGAATCACTTTATACTCTAAYTCAATTCCAATAAGCTATTTACAGAAATGCTACTTTGCCAAGACGTAGGGGAGGTTAATTTGGTGGCCCTGAACCACATTCATGTACATGATAAAGCGAGAATATAGTACTTATAAAACACATTACTGGTCACCAAGTACTTAGCATGGTGGCTGCCTATTAGATAAAAAAATAATTACAGACAAAAGTGGACCAAACAAGTAAAAGTATTATCTTGCTTTTGGAAAAATGTTTTATTAGATCTGACTACATTTTATTTCGATAGTATTTGAATTTTTTCTTTTAAACGTGCATTATAACTACAAAGACTATGAGGATCAAGATGATTAAGTTAAAGAAATCAAGGTGCCGTGTAGGTGTCTTGATTCCTCCCTTATCACTACTATGTGAGACGGTTAAATGATTTCTAACGATTAAGATTTAGTTCTTAGGTACGTTTCAAAACTCTTCAGTATTTTTTCGAGTTCTCTTTTCTCAACGGCTTAATCGCGCTTCTGGGTTATAATATTTAGTTATTCAATCAAAACCCGTGGCATTTTAATCAACTCGTACGTAAATTCCTTACCATACAATGGACCTTAATAAAAGAAAAGAACACATTGTACACAATCGAGGCTAAGACTGAGCAAAGGCGAACTCGAAATGGGAGTATTTCATATGGGCTAACAATTATTCGACGATTTATTGCATTTAGTTGGTATTACTTCAAATATCTGCTTATTAAAAATGATGGTACTAGTAAAAAGTAATGGTAAGATATGATCTGCCTCCTTTCCAACGTTTTTGTGCCCTCTTATAAGTCCAAAGTATTTCAGGGTCAATTAGAAGAAAAGACGTCTAATGCTCTGGGATTAGGTAAGACATGTCTGTATATTACACTCAGTAATTTCTAACAGAATTAAGTTTGTCCTTTTTGTGATGAATTGGTTAGCTTGTCACAACGTCTCAGCCCTTAATACTTTTAATACTTTTACTTTTAATACTTAATACTTTATGGCATCAAGATTGCACCGAGGTGATCAGGCTATTCATAAACACCATGTTGGTAGACTTAAACAAAGTTCATAATGATCTTGGTTTCCACTTGAAAAGACTATCATGTCACTAAATATATTTATTATTTATTATATAAACAGGAGTATAAGGGAATGACTCCATGGCTATAGCTTTATGGCTTGTATGTGAACGAGAAGCTAACGGAAATTCTCAAACATATTCCGTTACACAGACACAAATTCTCTTCTTTTTCGTTCCATCTGTGATAATTGGTGGAAAATCCCGCAATGAAAATATATGCGCTTGTAAAATATTTTCATCCACCAGTTCCCTTTCTGGTTTGTTAGATACCATTACGTTATACATTAATCTGTAATTACCGCATAATTCGTTCACAGGCTAACAAGCCATAACATACGTGTCCATCCAAGACATGTACATAGCTCTGTAGCTGTTGCTCATTCAGTAACTGATTCTTGATCTTACAGCTGGTTTTGAGATGTTTCGGTTTTATTACCAGCAGTTTTTCATTCTTTACATTTGCTTTCTGTTTGGAATACTGCCTACAGGAAAATGTCAAGGAAGTCAAGCTCAGTTAATGAAAACGAAAAGTGAATTCAGAAAAATGGTGGATAAAAATGAGATAAAGGAAATTCTAAGGTATGACAAAATACTTAATTAAAGCAACTGGGACTTGGGACGGCCGCAGTAATTGTTGTCTTATATTTTCTGTCCGGCCGAGCATCCATTATGGTTTGTTTTTTTTAGCCTAAGTCATTGTCCGTGATGAAAACTACAATGAGAGAATGGCTGAATAAGTGGAATGAGCAAAAAATTAATGTCATTATGAGTTTTGTTGTCATCTATTAAATCCCTGAAGAGTTATAAGCATTTGAAAAATACCAAAAACATGATAGCAAGACTGGTAGGCCCTTGGTTGTTTCCATACAAACCTTTCTAATTTTAAACGGCTGTAGCTTTTTATCATTTAATGTTACTACACTGAAATTTTGGAAGATCA